GTGACACAATCTTATCTGGAGTAGGCTTTTGAGGGAAGTCATGTATCCAAATTTAGAAAGACGTGGTAGGGTTCTAAAGGAAGTGGGAAATGTAGGGGAGGAATGGTGGTTACAGTGACCTGCGCATTTCTGATTGTGAACCTGATAGAGCTGTGGGAGAATAGAAAAGAGAGCGTTACAATCTTATCTGGAGTAGGCTTTTGAGGGAAGTCATGTATCCAAATTTAGAAAGACGTGGTAGGGTTCTAAAGGAAGTGGGAAATGTAGGGGAGGAATGGTGGTTACAGTGACCTGCGCATTTCTGATTCTGTGAACCTGACCTTATAAATGTGCTCTGAGGGATGGTTAGCTTTTTTAAGGCTTTTAGGTATGCTCCGTGGTGTTTAAAATAGGGTTAGGAAGCATGAAACTAAACATTGATTCATAGGCTCCAGCAAGGAAGTTGCAGGAAAAATTTTTAAAAATTTTGTTAGCATAAAAGTTTTTTTTTTCTCTCATTGAGTTTATTGGTCCTTTTAAAGTATACAGTAGAGTTACGTTCATCATTAGGATCTTGTACCTTTTCTTGACAAGTCTTGGTTCTCATTTTTTCTCCTTGTCCCTGTCCTCCCTTCACCCCACTTCCCTATTTGCAAATACTTTATTTTCATTTTCTCATATTTTTTCTTTTCCTTATTTCCTGTCCCCTATCCTTCCCACTTCCCGTATACCTTTAGCCCTTTTCTTCCTATTTCACATTGTAAATTATATCATTAGTATCTTATGTACCATTATATAAAAGTTTTTTTAAAAATGTGGCTAGTCAGGCTTTACAATGATTAGAACTTGAACTGCTTAGATTCTATTATTTTTATATCCAGCTGGCTTTATAAATTTTATTGCCCTCTGGGAGAATGTTAGAGGATTACATTAAAATATAATAAAAGCACAATTCTTAAAATTGTTTTCATAAACCAAAGTTTTATTTTACTTAATAATGAAGCTATACATTAGTCCTATTCATTGACCTCACTGAATATTAAACTTCCTATCTTGGAATACCCCTAAATTTAAAGAAGGCCCCTATTGTGTTTACATGTCAGCCGTTCATGGGAGTGTGCCACTGTTTCTTGCTATTCCAACAATCAGAAATCTAGGTTAAAACCAGCCCTGCAGACAGTGTGGTAGCTCTGAAGATCATACAAAATGGTCTGTATACTCACTTCCTAAAAGTCTGACGCTAAGAAGCCTTTTTTTTTTTTTTTTTTTT